TTCCTGATGTTAACTATAAGTGTTCTTTTTGTTTGTACCGTCTGTAGAACTTCGTCGTTGCTCAGATGTCCATGGTATTCTCAGCCACCTTTTGTAGAACAACATTTCTGTTGCTTCAGATCTCTTCTTCATCAGTGAGGAGACATCCATTGCCATATAGTAGGACTGATAATACGTAATAGTTTAGTACTCTTTTTTTTTGTTTCTAACGAAATTTTCCTGTTACTTAATACTTTGCTTGGCTTGTAGAAGGCGTCTTTTGCGCCTTCGGATTGCAGTGTCACACTTTCCGTCCTCTGTTAAAATACTTCCCAGATATTTAGATTGTTGTACTTTTTTTTAAACATTTCACCCCAAGCAAGGCGGAAGTTCTACTAGCACGCAAGGGGTTACAGAGAGTGAGAGTAAGAGGAATGTTTGGAAAAAGGATAAAGAGAAGAACAGGGATCAAGGTCAAGACATCAGAAGATGTCGATTGACACTATATTTGAAGATTATAGCTATCAGGGAAGCAAGTGATAGGAAGGGAGTTCCACTGACGGTAGGTGCGAGTTAAGAAGCTGTTGGAGTAGAAGAGATGTCTACATTTAGCCGTTTCGACAGTGAAAGGGTGTGACCGAGATGCTAACCTAGTAGAACGCTTAAATCCATGCAGTTTGGGAACCAGTGAAAGTAACTCATCAGAACAGTTGCCATGAAAATACTTGTAGAAAAGACAAGGCCAAGCAGGCGCAGAGAGGCACTCTCGTAGAGTTGGGCATCAGACATCCTGATGGGAGGCCGGGGGGAGGGTTCTCTATGGTAGGTAACTGAGTGCAGTTTTGTTTTAGAGGCATTAAAGTTTACAAGCCATTTCCTGCTCCAGTCAACCACAGACTGGAGGTCCTTCAATATAAATGATAAACATATCAATTCGTCAAATGTGCAAACTGTTTGACACCGTCATTCACACACCCCTCTTTACTTGCAAAACATATATTTATTATTATTATTTATTAAAAAATAAAAATTATAATGCATGTCTGTCTATATTTCTGAGATGAAGTATTGCAACTATTTACATTATTTACAATATTTAAACTGTTATCCTCATCTTTATTGTCATAATCACGACGTTTCGGCTTCAGTGGATAAAAGCGTTGGTTTAAGTAATCCAGTGACTTGGTCCAAGAGAGTTGTGAGTTCAATACCTGGCCACAGCAGAAGTGAACAAAAAACTTGGAGAGTTAAGATACTAAAGGGAATTAACTTAAACTGAGATATCCGGAAAAGCCATGGCACGTTGAACTAGAACAATCTATCCCGGTGGACGAAATGAAGGGATCGGTTCGAAATTCCAGTCACCGGAAAAAGGCCGGAGCGTACAACGGCCGAAACACCGTGAATATTATAACAAAGATGAGGACAACAGCCCGGACAATGTAAATAATGTAAATGTAATAAATGTATTATAATAAAAATTATGAAAATAAAAACATTATTTTAATGAATTAAATGAATTCTGGTATTAAATGAATCCTCGAAAGGTTATTATATTACTGGTGAAATACTTACTGTATATATACTTTTGCAGCAGCCTGTATATAAGGGAAGATATTACACGCGTTCTTTTTTTTATTTTTAAGGTCAGCCTGTCATTCCTTCTAAAAATACTAAATCTACGCAGCCCGTCCATTTTTTTAATCTCAAAATTTCGCCAACATGACAGGTAAAACTAATTCTGTAAAGTCTTTATTTTCTTCAGCAAATCCGAATCAAGAGAATTATGCCACCCGTAGTCAATCCCAGGAAGCTGCCTTTAGGCAACAGATGCGCACAGTAATACCGTTCTAATTAAAATAAAGATGTCAGACAGTAATGGCGGAAGCAAATAAATCGACAAGATGGCGGATATTACATAAAGAACCAGTAAGTTTTTTTTATTCTGTTGTTTCCCTAATATAATTCCTAAAAGCCACTCAAGATAGAGGGTTCCTAAATGAGGTTGTTGTAAGTGGGAGCAAGATGTGCATAATATGATGATATGTAGGATAGATAACAATTGACCCTAGACTTGAATAGGTTAACATTGTAGTGATCGGGAAGGCAGCCTTTTGAGAGTCGGTTTCATAATGCAACAGTTCTGGGGAAGAAGCTTTCTGCCCCCATCCCACCTAGTGGAATACGAAGAGAATGAAGATGAGTCGACACTGTACGTGAATATCTCGACTGCTGGTTCCAAGGTGTGAATTTCAACAGAACATCTGACATGAAAATAGTTATAGAGTAGCAATAGCGTTTCGTCTGCGGGAAAGGGATTGTAGGGTGGAAAACAAAACCACCAACAAAGCCGCGCAAACGCTTATGAACTCTGTCGAGGTTGGAATGTGAAGATTCAAGCCGGATGTAGCAGTAATACTACATTCTTGGCCTGCTATGTTTTTTTTTTTGTTTTTTTTTTGTAAAGAGAGAGAAATCAAGTACTTTCTGTAGCGAATCAAGTACTTTCAGGAGCTAGTCAAGAACTTTCTGTAGTGAGTCAAGCACTTTCTGGAGCGAGTCAAATGCTTTTTGAAGCGAATCAAGTACTTTCTGGATCGAAATAAGTGCTTCCTGGGGCGTGTCAAGTACATCAGGAGCGAGTTAAGAATTTCTGGAGTAAGACAAGCACTTTCTGGGACGAGTAAAGTTCATCTGGAATGACTCAAGTACAGGGTGATTGAAAAGTAACTCCCTATTTTAAAATACTGTAATTTATCTATTAACTATAATTCTTATTAGAAATAGATATGTGAGGAAAGTGTTTAGCATGAGGTTTTATTTAAGATTCGATATAGGCACCAAATTCCGTTACCAGATTCTCGAGCGTCTGATTTCACCAGGAACTCTTTTGGTATCGAAGACATAAATTCTTGTATTTGTCCTTGGAGCTCTCCTAAAGTCTTTGTTTGGTATAGTAGGTTTGCTTCTTTAACCACCCTAAAGAAAAAAGTCACAGGTTGTTAAGTCAAGACTCCTGGCTGATCACTCATATATGAAATAGGGAGTTACTTTCAATCATCCTGTACATCTGTAACGAGTCAAGTACTTCCTGGAGCGAGTCAAGTACTTTTTTTGGAGCTAGTCAAGTACATCTGGAGCGAGTCAAGTACATCTGGTGCGAGTCAAGTACTTTCTGTTGCGACTCAAGCATATTCTGGAGCGAGTAAAGTTTATCTGGATCGAATCATGTACATTCTGTAGAGACTCAAGTAGTTTCTGGAGCGAATCAATCACATTCTGGGGTGAGTAAAGTTAATCCGGATCGAGTCAAGGACTTTCTGGAGTTAAAAATAAGCGAGCGACGAGCGACGTTTCGTCTGTGTAAAAGAGACTGTAGGATGAAAAATAATTCATCCCGTACAAGGCAATGCAAACGCTTTTGAACTCCATCAAAACAAACAAGTATGGACCAACTCAGATATGGCAACAATACTCCATTTTTTTTGTCTGATCTGGCTCTTGTAAAGATGGAGTATAGCAGGAGGAGGAGGAGGAGAAATCAGATATTTACTGGAGCGAATATATCTGTACAAGAGTTAATGTAACGGATTGGCCAGAATTTGAATTTGTCTCGTCGATTCCATTTTCAGTACAGATAACAGTTACGTTATCTTCATAGCTTTGGTATTAGTTAACGCTATGAACAAACAATATGCCATAGCAAAGTAGACCCGTTATTTAGACGTTTCCCTACCGTGGAAAAATTACTCAAGCCGTCTTGGCACTTATCCTTTTGAGGACGCCTCAGGAGCCGGGTAATGATCCCACCCCACTCGCGAAGAAGAGGTACTGCTTGGGGGATAGCCACCCACCGCCACTGGGGCTTGCGCTGCTAGAGTCAGGAACTGAATTAATAAATACCAAAGAAGTTGATATAGTTACTGCCTGGCGGATGCCCGTCCACAGGGACTTGTGCTACTAGAGACAGGTATTTTTCAGCACGCCGAAATCACTACTGAGTGTGACACAAGGTCAGTGTAAAGTGGGTTTAACGGCAATACTGTGGAAAAATTTCTCAACCCCTCTCGGCGCCGACCGTTTTTGGGGACTCCGGAAGGAGAGGTACTGTCTGGAGGTATGCACCCCTGGGGCTAGCTCCACTAGCGCCAGGAATTGAACTCATAAATACCAAATTTGATATAGTTTAACTGACTTTTTTATTCCATTATGGCATATGACTCTTGACTGATCTTAAGGCTAAAATCTGGAGTCATAGACCTAGTGAAGGTACTCAGGTGCTTTGTCTGTATGCGTGTCCTTATTCAGGTAGTGAAATTGTTTGAGTACCCTGGAATTGTGTGAGTGTCCTGGGGTCCTTTCTTTCTCAATCAGAGGATTCCGTAAAGTATTAATCTCTATACTTAGGCGGTTGTCAAAGGCTAACATATGCGCGGATTCTATTAGCCGTCCCCAAGTGTTGTTCTTTCTTTGTTGACCAATTTTCAAAGGAGTTGATGACCTCCATATATGATTAACTATGCCTGATGTCTCCAACCTGCATTTCAATCATTCGCTGTTGAGAGGTAGGGGGTCTAGTATCACCCTTGTATTCCTCGTTACAACTGCATGGAATGGAATATAGGCAGTTCTTGACCATCTTCTTTTCCGAACCAAGTAGACAACTTTTCTTCCAGAAATCATGAAGAAATCATGGCTGTGGTTTCTGATCGTCATAGGACACGTTGTTGTGGGCGTTATTCGACGGAATCTTCTTATCCAAAACTAACACCTCTTGAAAAGTGATGCGTTTCAAGGAAAAATGGACATGTATTTATTGACCACCAAGAGGTAAAGTAGATTAGAGTAAGTGCCTGATTAAACTGGACGTTGACTGAGAATGACGTACTGCGCACGCGCAAAAACAACTATAATTGTGTAAGGATTGTTAGGAAGATTTGTTCGGAATTTCTCCAGCCATTTTGAAATCATTAAAGCTACTTAACCGTATGCGTTAACAAACACTATCCAGTGACGCTTATGGCCACGTCACGTTAAAACATCGGGTCCCGTACGATCACCGAAGTTAAGCAACGTCTAAACTGGTCAGTACCTAGATGGGTCACTGCTTGGGAATATCAGATGCTGTAAGTTTGAATATGCGAGTGGTCTAATGGATAATGGCTCGGAATTGTTAATCGGAGAGCCGAGTTCCAATTCTCGTTAGGTTAGTTATATACACTTACGTGCGAATACACTTGCGAAAGGTATGAATCTAGCTCTTCTCCTCCCAGTTATGGGTTAATTAGTAAGACTTGTATTACTATTATTATCTAATAAAATTGCTACAATCTAAACTCTCTCCAAAACTTGATCGTACAGCAACCAATGTTTCAACTAAATTCCGTAACGGAAGCGGGTGAAAATAGTAATGAATACATAATGGCAACAAAATGGCGTAAAAACAAATGAACAAAACGAAATCATACTTATTATAAAACCCAGGTTGTGTGTGTGTGTGTGTGTCTGTTCGTTTATATATTGGATCGGATTTCCTACATTTTTCAACCGATTTCAACAAAACTTCACAGGACTACGTAAAATTACCTTGCGGTGGTTCTAACAGCGCCAAAAATTGGAAAAACACAATTGTTTTTGCACAAAATCAATTTGAAAACACAATTAAGAGGCATCACGAGAATGAAAGGGGGACAACTCATATCGAGTTATACTTATATATAAAACCCAGGTTGTTTGTGTGTGTGTGTGTGTGTGTTCGTTTATATATATATATACAACCGATTTCAACAAAACTTCACTTTTTTGGGGGGCAGGTAGTGTTTCTTATTGTCTTGCACACTTTTTTCTTTATTTTTGCATTGCTTTAAAAATTCCATTTACAAGACAATTGTTTATAATAAAATTCTATTCAATCGGTAGACTCATAATGATTGAAAACAATGTTTCTGTTTGAGTTTGGGTTTGACCAATTGTAAAAAAAAAAAAACTAATTAAGACATGCGTGTCCGTCAACCTTAAACAATAATCTTTGTCAATTTTATTTTTCAGTCTTTATGATGGTCGATACTTGATCTATCTCTTACTGTTACATCCCCGGGCAACGACGGGCTCTACTGCTAGTAATAAATAAATAAAAATTCATACATTCCTAATCAAAACTAATGAAAGAAAGACAGACTTTCGAGAAAGAAGGACAAATAAATGAAATAATGAAAAAAAAAAGAGATAGATATAGAGAGAAAACATTCAAACAAGAAAGTTTGGGGCAATAGAGAATGCGGTTGCGCAGAAGGTTACTGACAATACTATGGACTAAACATGGGAGAAAAGTTTTAAGGAAAACTGGAAGGAAAAAGACACTTGTACTCAAAAATCAGAACGAGACAATTGAACTTTCTAAGACACGTAATAAGGAAAGAGGACTTGGTGAATTTGAAACTCACAAGGGCATATTAAAAACAAGAAGAGCAGAAAGAAACATCGAGTAACCTTCCGAATGAGTTTGTGTAAAATGTATGATAGATTTCCGGAAATGGTTATGGCTATAATACTTCTAGTGTCACTACTACTCGAGTAGGTTAAGAAGCACGTGGTCGTGTTCATGACTGCTCACAAAGTGTAAAAGCGAAAATCCGTACTACATTCACTCCTATTACCTGTCTACCTATTAGTCTGTCTGTCTTTATCTCTCTCTTCCACACAGAGAGACACAGACCGCAGGTTCGAATGTTGCCGAAAGGCGCATATTCTTTATTAAAGACTCTCGAACACACAGGCTGGTAGACGTCAATTGGTGTTTAAAAACACCTTGTGGATCCAATAAATATAACGTTTATAGTAATAAGAAAAGCACACGCACACGGTGGTTTCCACTATATAAAGGTAACGTAGGTTCGAATCCCACTGAAAGTATCGTATACTTTATTAAAGATTCTCGGACACACATGTCGATAGATGTCAATTACTCTACTTTTAAAAACACATGGGGTACCCTGTAAAAATAACTTTTATACAAACACCCACGGATGTGCACCCCCCCCGGCCCACTACCACCACAAAAGCTTAACTTTTTTTTTTCCATTTCTTTATTTTTCGATTTACTTCTTTATGGCAGCTATTAACTATTTTGATACTACTTCTTGTTGTTCGATTTTATTATGTCCATTTATATTGAAATTTTATACCCCTCTTATATATATATATATATATATATATATATTTGTGTGTGTGTGTGTGTGTGTGTGTGTGTGTGTGTGTGTGTGTGTGTGTGTGTGTGCAGGTATGAAGAAAAATAGGAAAGAACACGTTAGGTGAATAATCCAGGGTTCTTTAGTATTTTTGTTTTTATTTTTAAGAAACAGTGCTCCATACAGAAGTAGAGCTTATATTATAATTATTTTTTAAATATGATTCTTCTGGGTTACATAAAGTTTCATAGCTTTCAAAAATGAGATCCGAAATTATCAATATAATTATTAAAAATTAAATTTGTTACTTTAATTCAATTTAATTTTAATAATTATATTGATGGTTTCGGCCTCGTTTTTGAAACATGAGAATTTTTATGTAGCGAAGGAATCATATCTTAAAAAATAATTATAATATATATATATATATATATATATATATATATATATATATATATATATATATATATATATGTATGTATGTGTGTGTGTGTGTATGATAAAAATATAGTTGTAAGGTATGCTATATTTATGAATAAAAGTGCTCAATATCAGGGATAGAGCGTATGTAAATATAAAAGTGGATACAGAGATCAACACCGAGTGGTGATAGTCTGTTTCATGCTTAAACGCAATCTTGAAGCCATCTATCTATCTGGAGAATGGACATTTACAAGAGGTATTGAAAACTTTGTTTTTATACAGTTTGTATTAAAATAGAAGAAGGAATAAAAGGTCCGTAATAGAACTTATGAACCCCCTCCACTTTTGAAAAGAACAAAACCGCGCTTACTTTTTCATAGCATAGCGTTTGAACGTGTCTTTCAGAAGCTCCACCGATAAAATAAGTACAACGTTTATTTTAGTCGTTCACATTCCGCCCACGTCTTTTCAATACAAGTAGAAGTTTATCCCTTGTTCCCTGTTTAGGATTAGGTTTTCGGTTACTTCTAAGGTCTTTTCATTCTCTTTCACTCACAGTAGTACCTTGTGTCTTAGTGGCATTATCCCCTTGCTAGAGATGAATTGATTAAAATATATACTATTTACATTATTCGGACTATTGTCCTCATATTTGTCGCCATATTTATTACAGCGTTTCGGTCGTTGTACGTTCCGGCCTTCTTCAGATGGTCGAACTCAAAGGCGTTGGTTAGATCCAGTGACAGGACTCAAAGAGTGTGAGTTCAATACCGGGTTAAGGCAGCGGAGAACTTGCAGAGGGGAATTAACAGGAGATAATTGAAATCCATTGAAACGTGGAACTAGAACAGTCTACCTCAGTGAGCGAAATAAAGGGTTCAGTTCGACATTCTAACCACCTGAAGAAGGATGGAGCGTACAACGGCCGAAACGTTGTAATAAATATATGACAAAGATGAGGACAATAATGTAAATAGTGTACATAATACCTCATCTCAGTAATATAGGCAGATACTGATTAATATATATATATATATATATATATATATATATATATATATATATATATAGTGTGTGTGTGTGTGTGTGTGTGTATTTAGGCAGCATCTTTCATTCATACACGTTTCATTAAATAATATAGACAAGTGTTGTCTATTTATTTTATGTAAACTCTTTTCATAACGTCTAATAAGTTTAATAACATTATAATTGAACGAAGAAAGAAATTCACAATATTGATCCATATTTTTAATATAATCTAAGCTTTCGGCTTACATAAGCCATTATCAAAGATGTCAATTACAACATATTAAGCAATATACGGACAAGACAGTGATGAAGTGATGAGTTCAGAATGTTTATAGATGATTCTAAAGCAACGATGAACACATGCACGCGCATCGCACCGCATCTCATGACGTAAACTTCTCCAATTCACTATCGCGTGGTCATGTGTGACGTCATGAGATGCGGTGCGATTTTCGCTTATAGCGTCTTATATGCACGTGTTTATCATTGCTTAGAGATCATTTATGTAAACATTCACAGACTGTCATCATAAAGAAAAAGACTTATCCAAACAGAATAACTGAAAGTTTTATAAGATCAGCGCTTTCAGTTATTCTGTTTGGATAAGTCTTTTTCTTATGTACATCGTCTTTGTCATGTTGTATTGATAATGTTATAATTTATGAATATGTCCTGAAGATGGTTTATTAGACCGAAACGTCCGACGTTGACATATTAACATTAAAACAGCATAATTGTATATAAGATTTTTTGTTTGTTTTTTCCGTATATATTTTTTCTTCATACTGTCGGATTTATATCCATATATTTGCTTACACACACACACACACACATATATATATATATATATATATATATATATATATATATATATATATATATATATATATATTTACATGTTACGCCTTTTCTAGGCTTCATTAGATATAAAAACGAAACAAAGACATGTTTGTGTGTGTGTGTTTGTGCGTATTGTGTATGCTTAAATAATGCATTATAGTACTTTTTCCAAAAGCTGGCGTTTCTCGTGATTAAAGAAAAGAATGAAAATGAATGACTTTTAAAAAAAGCCGTTAATATTTATTTTGTATTTTTTTCTTTATAATTCTTAGTTTATGTCGAAAGTTATTAATATATTTTTCTCAGCATTTTTTATCCTCATCTCATTTTCAGATGGTTTGAAAGAAAGAGATTCATATAGCCTTTTCTTAAATCCAAGGTAAATCCTCAGCCGATCCTTTAGAATGGGTTGAAAATAAAATATTTATGTTTTTAGGTCTATTCGTGTGTTTTCCGTGTTGACAATATGTGTTTAAAATAAGATATAGAATCCCGACAAACAAATACACACAAATACACTCAAATACACACACATTTCTTCCTTTCGTTTTCGGATCTGATGAAGCCTCGAAAGGCGAAACGTGTAATCAAATCTAGTTTCAGTGAAACGTTTTTCCATTTGTCAAATTTCTTAAAACATTGTCGGGATTC